ATACAGGGCTAAGTTAGAAAAGAAACATGGGACCTCTGAGCACAGAGCTATTAGTTGTGCCCTGTAGGTGATCCAAGAGCCCAGCTTCTGCAATTCAGACATCATGTATGAAATACTTGTACCAAATGAGGTTTAGGCTAACACACCCAGCAGTAAGACAGATTAACAGAAGAGGCGATAGCTGGGGAAATCCTCACTAAGCAGTTGTCCCTCTATCCTATAGACAGAACAAATTATCAAAGAAAAATAAGTGAAAATATCACAATTTTCATTTTTTTCTTTTCCTCAAACAGATACTTTAGATCACCTAAAGGCTGGCCCCTCCCCTGGGGGGCTAAACCTCTTTACTTTGGTATAATGGACCCAAGGTTTTACTTATGACAATTTTAATGAGGTGTGAGGTGTTCCTTCCACTTCTCTGCTTCTAACTGGGGTGGGGACCTGAAAGAGGCAAACTCTTGTATAGTGGTTAGCATTGGACATACTGTTTTACTTATGGTTATGTTACTATACTTACCTCAGGGTGGTAGGAAGGGTCTCTCATAAACTATTTCTTAGGGGCTTCACTTACGCCTGCCTCTAAAGAGCTACTTTTATGCAGAGGAGGGCAAGCAGGAATATCCTATCCCACTTTAGATGGGCTTCCTGTATCAATTCCAGGATGCATGCAATTTCTATTCTTTGTTTACTTTCTGGGTTACCTCTGCTACAAAGGAGGGTCTATTATCACTCTTGTGAAATGTCCAGGGCTCCGTGGAGTGTGCTCCTGGGTCCTGTTGGCAATGGGGTGCCTGTCGATGTCCTTGTGTGGGAGGAGGAGCTGCTGAGCCATCTCTGTTGCTGTCTGTCCACGGCCTCCGTCACCAGCATGTTAGTCCCCATTTGCTTGGCCTCTTTCTCTGGGCTGTCGATGCCTGTCATCCCATCATCCTCCAAGGCCTGTTCCTGTATGCATTCAGGAACTTGGCAAAGGCCCTGTCAGCTCCTGGTAGGAGCCCATCTTGGAGTGAGTTCCTCCAGAAGGATTCTGGTGACTTCAGATGTTCCTTTCTTTCCTCCAGGCAGGATAAGCCTCTACCCAGGCTGAAAAGGTATCTGCCAATACAAGCCCAGGCATCTGAGTGAAACTGCCAATCATTGAAAGGGTGGATCCCCACATGTTGGCCTCCCTGTGTAGCAGGTTGCCTTTCTGTCCTTGTACTGCCCCAAGCACATAAACAGCTGTAAATGGGGTCCTCCCAAATGAGGTCCCACCAAATCCATCAAGGCATCACTCTCCCAATGTGTGTATTCACTTATGTGCCTCATAAGAGGCCAAACCAAAGCTTTGGGTAGGAGACGAGTCTATGAGAATTCTGTCTCCATTAGCTGTGCCATCCCAAATGTCAGAGTCCCAGTCTTTAGTTTTTAAGGGGTCTCAATCTAGCCGAGGTATCAAGTCCCCGAGAGACAGATCACCTCCAGTGGCCTCTTTAGCAGCTCTGTCAGTGGCCTGACTTCTCTTTGCCATGCTGGCCACCTGCTTGGGCTCAGCCCTGGCCTGTATCGAGGCCAAGTCCAAACCCCTTGTTTATGAGAATAAAAGTATGTGGTCCAGAGATAAGTTGGGGGTAGCTCTAGATCACCAGCAAGTTCATAGCAGAACTGGGAACATAAATCAGAGCTTTATGTTCATCCTGAGCTTTACGTTCATCCTACCAAACAATATTAACTTTCAGAAGAGTGGCTTCCCAATTTCTTAGATCACAATTCACAGGAAAAAAATACATTTTACACCGGACACAAAATTTACATGAAATAATACTTTAACATACTGCATTCACCCTACTATTTCCTATTCTGTTCTCTGAAACCAAATCAATCAATAAATAAACAAACCATCAGGGGCAGAAGCCACGGATAAGAACTGAATGAAGCCAGCTGGAGAATATAATACCTGTGAGGGGTGCCACATGAGAGGCACTTGGGTGCCTACCACACAGAAGTCAGTAGAGGCCAAATCTGCCCTAGTTGTACCAAACAACTATACCCATTTCCCCTAATTGCAACATCACACTGTCCCCATTCTGGAAAAATCAGACTGGATGGAACTTGGTGTGACATAAAAGTGGCTAGAAAAACAGGGACATTACACACACAACATCATTTAATGGAAGAGGAGCTTGAGCTAATTTAAAATATTAGTTGAGGCCGGGCGCGGTGGCTCATGCCTATAATCCTAGCACTCTGGGAGGCCGAGGCGGGCGGATTGCTGGAGGTCAGGAGTTCAAAACCAGCCTGATCAAGAGCGAGAACCCGTCTCTACTATAAATAGAAATGAATTGGCCATATAGTATATATAGAAAAAATTAGCCAGGCATGGTGGCACATGCCTGTAGTCCCAGTTACTCGGGAGGCTGAGGCAGGAGGATCACTTGAACCCAGGAGTTTGAGGTTGCTGTGAGCTAGGCTGACGCCACGGCACTCACTCTAGCCTGGGCAACAAAGCGAGACTCTGCCTCAAAAAGAAATAAAAAAATAAATAAATAAAATGAAATAAAATAAAATATTAGTTGAAGAAGAAAACATTTCATGTTTGCCCCCTATGTTCAGATCCCTCAATTACCTCTCTACATTTGTCAGTCCTCAAAATTCTGTTACCCTGGTGCTTTAATTTTCTTTCTCAAAAGATCACTTCTTTGGAGAACTGTATCATTAAAAATCATTAACTGTATCACTTAAAAATCATTAAGTGTTACCTTGGCCAGGCACGGTGGCTCATGCTTGTAATCCTAGCTTTCTGGGAAGCTGAGGCGGGAGGATGGCTGCAGCTCAGGGGTTCGACACCAGCCTGAGCACAGTGAGACTCCGTCTCTATCCCTAGAAACAAGAAACAAAACAAAAAAAGACACACACAAAAAAATACACAAAACCCAGCCGGGCACTCTGGCAAGCGGCTGTAGTCCCAGCTACTTGGGAGGCTGAGGCTGAAGAATCCCTCACAGCTCAGGACCTGGAGCTTGGGGTGACCCACCTTCACTGTATTCTACACCAGGACACCGAGTGACACTCTGTCTACACACACACACACACACACATAAGTATTACTTTTATGTTCTCTCTCGGATCTATATTCCTGCCCTGACTTCTTTGTCTTCTTTTCTGTGATTTTCAGCAGCCTAAAACAGGGTTTCTCAACTTTGGCATCATTCAGATTTTGAACCAGAGAAACCTTTGTTGTTGGGTTGTAGGATGTTTAGCAGCCAGATACTTGTAGTAACCCACTTGTTACAGTAATCCAGCTGTGACCATGAAACGTATCCCCAAACATTGCCAAATATCCCCTAGGGGGCAAAATCACTCTGAGTTGAAAAACACTGGGGTATAGGAATTGTTTTGTGTTTTTTGGAAGATCTTGGTTTCATTTTAAACTCACTTTGTCCAGTTTCAATGCTATTATTGTAAACTGTCTCTCTATTGCCAAATCATGTTTGTGTCAATGGTATCACCATCCTTAAAGTCATTCAGGGTATCAGCTTTAAACTCGTCTGATTTTTTCTCTTTTTTTTTTTTATTGTGGAAAAGAGGTGTTTCTTTTTTCCAAAAATTGCACCAAATTAAAGCAAAGCTCTAGTTGATTCGGGCGCGTTGTGTAGGCATTAGCAGTGCTGCCCTCACTACTCATTCATTGGACAGTAGCGCTACCCCAAGAAAAGGATGGTTTATTTTTTAATATCTTTAACTGCCATCAGATCGTCCCATTCCTTCATTAGGTTGCTCCTTCCCCTCCATGCCACCTTTGTCCTCCAACCTTTCTAAAAATTTTTAAAATTTATTTTTAATTATTATGGGTACACAATCGTTATTTATCTTTATAGGGTACATACGATGTTTTGATATAGGCATACAATGTGAATTAATCATTAGGTTAATTCATTAGGTTGCTCCTTCCTTTCCATGCCACCTTTGTCCTCCAACCTTTTTAAAAACTTTTAAAATTTATTTGTAATTATTATGGGTACACAATAGTTATTTATCTTTATAAGGTACATACGATGTTTTGATATAGGCATACAATGTGAATTAACCAAGTCAGGGTAATTGGGGTACCTATCACCTTAGGCATTTATCATTTCTCTGTGTTAGGGACATTCCAATTCCACTTTTTAGTTATTTTAAAGTATATCCTCCAACCTTTTATTACTCCACACTGCTCTGAGCTAATAGCCTTTCTTTCAATGGCTCTGTCTGCCCATATTATATCACTTCTAATTCATCCTGTATCCTCCTTTTAGACACATCTTTCTCACCTGCTACTTGATAGTTGGTGTAGAAAATCGAAGCATGCCTTTACCCAGCTTTCAAGACATCTTTAATCTGGCACCATCATACATATTTATCATTATTTTTCATTATTCCCCACTTATACAAACACTTGGCTCTTATCTCCAGACAAGCCAATCTTCTCATTCTCATACAGGCATCTTTGGTCTCACCTATCTGTATTTTCTGATCCCTTCTCTTGAAACGCCCTTTTTGCTAATGGATCACAGCCATTTATTTAATGCCTAACTCTTCAATGAAGTCTTTCCCAATGACTTCATTTTACATTGATCTTTCCAATCTCTAGGGTACTATTGTGCTCACCATCAGTATTATACATTTTATTTTTTTTCACTGTGAAAAAAACCTCTATTTTAAGAAAAACATTTAGTTAACAAAAAATTTGACAAGTTTCACTTAGTGAAATATACCCAAAAGGAAATCATAGTACAAAGAAAGTTTTAAGTCAAGGCTTCACCAATTCCTACAGTATTAGTATTGTGTTTCAATTCTCAAAACTAACTCTTAAAAAGCTTAAACTTAACCTAAAAGATTTTAAATGAAAGTATAAACTCGAATGAACAAACATGAGAAATATTTCTTTTTGAATCAGGGAGCTAGCACCTTTGAGTTTTCCAAAAAAGCACGTCTCCCCAGTGTGTTCACTGCAATGTGGTGGCAAAAGGTCTATATTTAACATACTTAAACTACTTAAACTCAGATAACATCACTCTGAAGTATACTAACTACCAAAATGTTGATTGAGAAGAGCTGAAAATAGTTTTAGTTTACTCAATATCGCATGCTAGAAGAAAACTTTACAAGACAAAATACTGAAGAGGTGAATTTTTTATTGGAGATTAGACAAACTCATGGTGCAAAATGGGTCCCACAGCTTCCTCTAGATTTGTAACTGTTGTTCACTGCTTGTTGGCTGCCTGTGAAAATCTGATTGAAAAAACTTGAACATTCCTACAAAACTAGTGGTATCTGCCCATGTTGTTCAGACCGCTGTAGCCAGCCCCGTAGCAGCCGCTCAGTGGCTGACTCTCCAGACCACTGTAAGTGGCCCGGGCTGCCGATACCCCCATGCCTGGCATCAGCAGACTGCTATACGCTCTATTGCTGGCTCCGGTTGTCGAATTCAAGGAGAATTCTACGTATCTACGCGGCATGATGGCCCTGTCTTTGGACATAGCCGCCACAGCCTCTTCGTGGGTGGCAAACTCCACGTCTGCTTCTCCGGTCGCTCTTCCATCTGGGCCAATCTCAATATGCACTCTCACAGGCTTGACTGGATAGAAGAAGTTGTAAATGTCATTCTCGGTTGCTCTGTATGGCAGCCCTCTCATGTGGACGCAGTGCCCGGTGGTGTTCTGCACTGCGAACTCGCTGTCTCCGTATCTGTGGTGGTATCTGCCTGACAGACAGCAGCTGAGGTCTCTCCCAAACAGGTCGGTGTCTCTCCCAAACAGGTGGGTGGAGAAGCCGTAGCTATTGCTGAAGACGCCGTGCTCCTCTTGGCCACCACAGCCTGCATTGTAGGCGCCAGGCCGCATCCTCTCCAGACTAGCTTGCTTCAAGACGCTAGCTGATCTCCTACCTGGGTCAGGGCGGTTATAGGGCCCCGGCCTCTGCACTAACAGACACTTGAGAGGGGGATCTGAGTAAGACCTGGCTTCCTCCTGACTGCTCTTGAACACTTCGATATACCTGTGCCCTATCCTCTCCCTGTGCTTCCTCAGCGCTTTCTTAGCTAACTCCTGTGAGGCAAACTGTACGAAAGCTTCGCCTGTAATCTTGCCCTTGGGGTCCACAGGCAATATGACCCCATCTGACACGATTTCCAGCCCTGAGAAGAACTGGATGATGTCTTCCTTCGTGCACCCAAACGGGAGTCCTCGAAGGCGGACGACGCCATCGTTGGCGCCGTCGGGACCGCTGTGCTGCAACACCCAGTGCATCTCCGTTCTGTGGGACTTGAACACCTCGATGTACCGGTGTCCCATGCTCTCCCGGTCTTTCTTCAGGGCCATTTTGACATCCTCTTCCGACTCAAATTCCACAAAGGCCTCACCGCTCTGCCTGCCCTCTCTAGTGTAGACGAAATGAACACCTGCGGCCCCATGACGGATCCTGCAGTCTGACAGGAAGTTCTGCACGTCCTCCACAAAGCAGGACCAGGGCAGGCCACGAAGCTTGACGATGAAACCGTGACCGCCGGGGGGGCCTAGCATCATGGACACTCTTTCGGCGGGACAGATGTCACACAAGCTCGAACACAGCGTCTTTTGAGGCTCAGAATCGGAGTCTACAGGCTGCTGCCCTCACACCTGCCTCCGCCGCTGTCCCTCACAGCAGCGAGAGGAGGGTGTGACAGCTGAGGCAGTTGAGGTTTGTTTACCTCACCATGGAAACCCCTGGCAGCGCGCTCTGGGCGGGGCTTCTGGGGGGGGGGCGTAAGGCGCGAGACATGAGGTGTAAGACGTAAGACACAAGGCACGAGGTGTGAGACGTAAGACGTAAGACACAAGGCACGAGACGTAAGACGTAAGACACAAGGCAGGAGGCACGAGATGTAAGACGTAAGACACAAGGCAGGAGGTGTGAGACGTAAGGCACGAGGCACGAGGCGAAAGACGTAAGGCGTGAGGCACCAGTTGAAAGACGTGAGGCGCGAGAGTAAGGCGGGAGGCGCGAGGCGTGTGACTGCCAGAGACAGCTCCCGCCCTTCGAATGCACGCTCACTATTATGCAGTTTAGTATTTATGAATTTTTTTAGAGACAGTGCCTTGCTCTGTTGCTCAGGCTGGAGTACAGTGGCGTGATCACAGCTCACTGCAGCTTCGAACTCCTAGGCTCAGTGATCATCCCGCCTCAACCTCCTGTGTAGCTACGACTGTAGGTGTACACCACCATGCTTGGCTAATTTTCTTTTTTTCCTTCTTTCTTTTTAATGTAGAGACAGAGTATCCCTGTGTTGCCCAGGCTGGTCTTAAACTCCTGGACTCAAGTGATCCTCCCACCTGAGCCTCCAAAAGTGCTGGGATTATGGGTGTGAGCCACTGCATCCAATCCTGTTTCGTATTTAAATGTTCTCTAAATTGTTTCACATGCTTCTCTTCCCAGGTAGTTTGTTTGTAAGGTATTTGAGGGAAGGGTCTCCTTATCCTTTATGTGTTTTCCTCACAATATTTAATATAATGCTAGGTACATAATAGGGTGCCCATAAATATTTGATTATTGCTACTAAACTGCAGAGGAATAACATCACCATCATCATGTTTGATAACAACAGCTAACGTTTTTTGAACACTTACTTAGTGCCAAGAAGTGTTAAGCATTGTTCACATATCATCTCATTTAACCCTCAGAGCATATCTTTATATGAAGTAGGTTCTGCTACCATCTCTATTTCATAGATGAGGAAATGGAGGCTTAGAGAGGTTAAGTAACTTGTCCAAGTAATACAGCCAATAAGTTTTAGAGCAGGAATTCTTTTTTTTTTTTTTTTTTTTTGAGACAGAGTCTCGCTTTGTTGCCCAGGCTAGTGTGAGTGCCGTGGCGTCAGCCTAGCTCACAGCAACCTCAAACTCCTGGGCTCGAGCGATCCTTCTGTCTCAGCCTCCTGAGTAGCTGGGACTACAGGCATGCGCCACCATGCCCGGCTAATTTTTTTTATATATATATCAGTTGGCCAATTAGTTTCTTTCTATTTATAGTAGAGACGGGGTCTCGCTCTTGCTCAGGCTGGTTTTGAACTCCTGACCTTGAGCAATCCGCCCGCCTCGGCCTCCCAGAGAGCTAGGATTACAGGCGTGAGCCACCGCGCCCGGCCTAGAGCAGGAATTCTAATCAGAGTTTGCCTTGTTAGAATCTTACATAGATAATGATGAAGGAATCTCTCCCCCCACCCCTTTTTTTTGAGGCAAGGTTTCACTCTGTCGCCCTGGCTAGAGTGCAGTGGCATCATGCTAGCTCACTGCAACTTCAAACTCCTGGGCTCAAGCAATCCTTCTGCCTCAGCCTCTCAGGTAGCTAGGACTATAGGCATGAGCCACCATGCCCAGCTAATTTATTCTATATATTTTTAGTTGGCCAATTAATTTCTTTCTATTTTTAGTAGAGATGGGGTCTTGCTCTTGCTCAGTCTGGTCCCGAACTCCTGACCTCGAGCGATCCACCCGCCTCAGCTTCCCAGAGTGCTAGGATTACAGGCATGAGCCACTGTGCCCAGCCTTGTATAGTTGAATTTTTATGTGTATATGCAGAGGCAAGCAACTTAGAAGAAACCGGCACATTATAGACATTGATGATAATCCATTTTACATATTAGCTGAAGGCAAAAGTAAACCGGTCTTCTTAGGATGAACTTAAGGAAAGATACTAAGCACATATGTTAACTGCAATAAAGTGGATTGTTAAATAAACTAATAATTAACTGCCTAGCCATGCCAGATAAAAGAAGAATAATTTAAAAACTTAAGATTCTAAAAAAGAATATTTTTTTAGACAGAGTCACAGACTGAAAATTTAAAGACAAATTACCTTGTAGGACACGTTCCTTAGGTTGCCCAAACCCCAGGAGAATAAATGAGCTTTATCTAATACAAACTAAAACTAGTTTCTAAACATAATATAAACTAAACAAATTTCTAAAGATGTTTCTTCTTTGTTATTGTCTTATTATGTGTGTTATTGTTAGTTCTGTGTGAGCAAATGACGAAACTTTTTTAAAAACACGTTTAAAAGCCAGCTGCATTCCCAAGAGTTTTACACCTTGGGTCTAAGTCCTCGTTTCTTCCATGATAATGACATTCCAATTTTACAATGAAACTCTGAAGGAAATATAGGCAGTGTATATACATATATTGGGAATTAGCTTCAGAATTGTTTTATTAGATGGGTTATTTGTTAGGCAGTGGAATCAGAGAAATGTTTGTAGTTAAACTTCCTATGGAGAATTTTGCCTTCAGTTGTTATTTTCTGACTTCCTGATACTGTGCCTCAATGTCAGTTTTAGGGAATGGTTCCATTTGTGGACATGTATTTAGAGTTTTTCTTGCTACAAAGGATCTTTGGCTTTATGCAGTAGGAATGATCTTAATGTTTTGCATACACTGGGTTTTGTCATATTGAAATATTGAATAGTTTTAAGTTTATCAGAACAGTTAACAGACAAAAGGAACTCTGCTTTTAATCCTTTTATGACACGAACTCTACTCTATATCTCAGTTTACAAATTCAAATTTTTGTATATTTTCCTTAAGTAAGGTTTTATTCAGTAATAAAGATGTAGTTAGTAGTGGTAAAGTATTTTCATAGTTATTATCAATTATTTCAGTGTTTAACTTTTAAAGTTCATGATTGAACTCAGGCTAAATGAGTAAATTTTCCCTCCTGTTTCCCATAGCATCCCTTTCCTTCTCACTATATGACGGTGCCTTTCTTGGGTGCTTAATACCTGTTTTCTTTGACTAAAACCACCCTTAAAAAATCCAAAATGCATTGATATCAACATGTCAGTAATTTACTTATAACAGCTTCCAAATGTTGCACAGAATAATAACTAATTTACATTTTTAATTCCAGGCGATTATACAATTCATGACAAGCCAAACCCCAGAGGTGAAATTGTAATTGGCGGACAGATTATCTCAATGGCATATTTTAAAAATGAAGAGAAAATGGCAGAGGATTATTCTGTGGATGAAAATGGGCAAAGGTGGTTTTGCACTGGTGATATTGGAGAATTCCATCCCGATGGATGTTTATAGATTATAGGTCAGTGTATTCTTTGTGTGGTTTTCTTCAGTTTTTGTATTATAACTTCAACTTAGATAAAAGGTAATCTTGGTCAGGTCATTAATAGGATCGATGATGGTTCCATTAGTTCAAAGTTTGGGCGAGTTATTTAACTTATGTTTGAGCTTCTCCATCTGTAAAATTGGGATAACAATACTGACCTCATAGGGTTGTTGTTAGAACTAAATGAGTTGATATAGATAAAATGTTCAAAGCAGTGCCTAAACCTTCTTAGTTTAAGTAGTAGCAAGACCAAGTGGCATTGGGGGTAGGGCTAATGGCAAGGAAATAGCAGATTGGTAGTGGGAAAACAAAAAGAGCTCAGAGGAGGTCTTTTATGGTCAACCACATGTGGTTCTATAAAATTCTTTACTGTAACATACCATATTCTTTTTTTTTTTTTTTTTGAGACAGTCTTGCTTTGTTGCCCAAGCTAGAGTGCCGTGGCATCAGCCTAGCTCACAGCAACCTCAAACTCCTGGGCTCAAGCAATCCGCCTGCCTTAGCCTCCCAAGTAGCTGGGACTATAGGCATGCACCACCATGCCCAGCTAATTTTTTGTATATATATATTACTTGGCCAATTAATTTCTTTCTATTTCTAGTAGAGATGGGGTCTCACTCTTGCTCAGGCTGGTTTTGAACTCCTGACCTTGAGCAATCCGCCTGCCTCGGCCTCCCAGAGTGCTATGATTACAGGCGTGAGCCACCGTGCCACGCCACATACCCTATTCTAGGCCTTATTCTCCCTTTACCTCTCTACCTTGGGGCAGTATGGGCACATTTTTTTCCTGGTGGCTATTTATATGGCTCTAACTGGGCCTGAACCTTAGAAAATTGATAATATCAATCCTGAGCACCAGTGTGTTCTGAGAATGTCAGTTGCTTAGGCATTGCCCTTACTGAGCCTCCTGAAATAGACCTTTAAGTTCAAAAAGTGACTCCAAAATGAGCCCCTATGCTATTCACTTTGAACAGGTCAAAGTTAAAACAAAAATTCACTTGCTGATGAGGTCCCCTCTGCAGGATCGTGGTCAGGTCCTTTTCAAGCCCTAGAATTATCTCAGTCGTATCTCTAGTGACCCATTTCAATATGTTGCTGGACCTCACAATGTTGGACCCGAATATAACCAGAGACTTCCTGGGAAAATTGGTTCTTCATCTAGAAATTTGATCTGCTAATCCAGGAAACAGGGTTCAGTTGAAAACCAATAAGCCTTTTGTTTTTCTTCATTCTTAATTGCACTGGGAGGGAAGATGATTTCTGTAGAGTGGGTTCCCAGGCGATGGATAGGCAAACCAGCACTCACAAGAAGATGGTAAGGCAACCTGATGATTATTCAAGCTGTGCCATCCTGTGCCAGCACTTTCTTAGAACACTATTGTTTTAACAGTATAATGCCAACTGTGGAAAAGAGGAGTTAACATTTGTTGAATGTGTTCTATATGCGGACATTGCGCATCATGCCTGTAGGAGGTAGGTGTCAATATCCCTTATAAAACCTAGGATTAGGGAGGTTAACGGACATGCCCAGCAACACTTAGCTAGCTAGTATTGGGCAGAGATACCATTCAAATCTAATGCTCCAAAGTCCTTGTTCCTTCTATTAACTTT